ACCCATTCAAGCCGTTTCCAGCCATTATTAGTCTCAAAGTAGGTTCCTCGTCATCGAATATGTCAAACATGTTTTTTGTTTTGTTTTTCAATTCAAAAGTTTTAATAGTATCTGTACACCAGTCTTAATAGCTTTATTCTCGTCTAGCAAAAAAATATACTACTAATCACCGTCACTAAGGCCTAAAGACTTACAACACTAATATCCGGGGTTCGATTCCCCGTATCGCAGCCCAGCACGCTAACTGCTAAATCACGCATGGCTCATCTTACATCTGGTCGGTAAAATAGGACATAAATACTATTAACAAATCAGTATACAGTATTCAGCTGTCCACTGGTTGGGCAGCGGTAAGTCTAGGGACTTACAGCGCTACATTTGGGGTTCGATTTCTGCGGTGAACACAGCAGATAGTCCAACTTGGCTTTGCTCTAAGACAAACAAACAATATTCAGCTTACAAGTGGAATTTTAGTTAAAAGAAATGAACCGTACAATTTTGTCGTAAATTAATATAAACATTGTGTTATTTCACAACAACACAAACTGTGTCCCCCAAACACAAACCAGTATGAACTATAGCACAATTTATCGTTGTACTGATATTTGTTTGTTTTCGAGCAAAGTCATATAGGGATATGTGTTGTGTCCACTGGGGGGAATCAAACGCCTAAGTTTAGCGTTGTAATTATTTAAACTTGACACTACCCCACCGGGCATTTGTAGCGATATAAACACACAAACTGTTTGAATGTTTTTTAAAAAGTGCGGTTTTCAATTCAAAATTGTGTTTATTTAAAAACACTTTTGTGTTGTAAAGTCATATTTTTTATGAAAAGTTCAGTTTGAGCTGCTCAGTAGTAGCATATGGTGGAAATAAATCACTCATCATCTGACGTCGTTTTTAAATTATTATTTGTGCAGTGTGTGGCCTATTACTTAATCTCAAAATCCCTTGGTTTACTAACATTATTATGTGTACATAGATTGTATAAAACTCAACACCAAAACAGTTCATCGGCCAACACATCTGTGTGCTGTTTTCTTAGCCCACAATGATTGTGTTGTTTTCAACACGAATTTGTGTTGAAGCCATTCAAACACCAGACTTATGTACCACTTAACACAAGTTGCTTTGTTTTTTAACATAATTTGTCTAGTTTTGTATTTTCACGACGTAACCTGAAAAAAAAATTAGACAAGCTATATATTAATCAATAAGTTTCCCAGTTAGACTAGATACCTACATGACAAACTGTTGTCCTGGTGTGACGGTGAATGAAATTTTAGTCTCACACCTAATCAAATCACCTCGAAGATTTAGAGTTTTTGCAACTAGAAAAAAATAACAACAACAAAAAACGTTTGTTATCGAACTGGGTGTATCATACGTAAGCAATATAGCTACTAATATAAACTTCGGCGGTTGAAATTATCTTTATTTGGAATAAAAAATAATAATGTGTCGTAATTTAAAATGTGGAGATGCAACATTGCTACTTAATGTTTTATAAATTAAAATTATTAACTCTAGATTCGCCCATGTGGTCCGTGTTAAGTACCCCATCGGAGTTCTAAGTACAGTTTTCCTAAACTATTCATATACCAAAATGCTTGTTGGTCCATAACTTTTCCGTTGCAGGATCTCTAGTAATAACATACGAGTCACACAACAACACAAATCTACACAAAAAATGTCGTAAGTATTCTTGCTAATTACAGCATGGGCTTCGTATTTATATACATATATAATGAGTGTCTTCACTCGACTGGTTTTGTCAGCTGTTTTATACCTGAGTTGCGACAAGTAAAAGCATAAAATTACGCAATATTATTTAATATAAAGTTGCGAAAAAAGTTTAACTATACAAAATGTACAGTGCATTTTCAATACGTCAAGCATCAATGAAATGTATTTTAAGGCCTTTTAATTGTCAGTATGACAGGAAAAAGTTAGAACTGCGATCATAAGAATTGAGCATTTGTTACTATTACATTCAATAACCTTAGTCATCTTACATAAGAGGAACTTTGAACTCAGTATGATACTTAAACTTACCTAAACTAGTCGCACTATGTACATCAGTTCTGGAACAGGCAGATGGCAAACACACTCCCAGTCGGTATGCGAATGAATAGAAAAACTGGGCATTTTGTGCTAGGTCGTATAACAACTATAGGATGCATTAGTAACAAAAACAAATTACGTTTTGCCACATTGTTATACAACAGAATGAACGCATTATTAACAAAAACAAGTTACTTTCTGTTAGGTTTTTTTGTACAATATAATAAATTAAATATAAATAAATAACTGGGAATATATTGTATTTAATAACATTAAAAAACACTGTCAAAGGAAAAAAAATGTCACATGACTACTGTTTTATAAACCTCTTATATTATTGCCCTTATACGAAAGCCTTGGAATTCCGTACTCTTAAAAGAAACAGATTATTATTCATAAGTATTACTATAACAATGCTGCTGCTCCTGTCACGTGCTAAACCACATAATCACAAACCACGTATTCTAAACTTTTGCCTCTAGTTTTCAAAGTGAGCACAAGATTAGAGATGTGATATAGTATCACTCTGAAGTCATAAACAAACAGGCCTGTAGTTCTTACGTTTAGAATCTTCTGGGCCGCTTTTTCTTAAGTAAGTCTTGAATTAATAGAGGAATAAAATTACTTTTCGAAAGGTTAAGCACGTTTTCTTCCACTAAAAGTACGAATTTTCAATTAAGGGTTATCATATACGTTTACTTAGCACGTTAATTTCTAATTGTTATTTTAACTTTTGCATCTATGTTTATATCAATGTTTGTCTACTGAACAGCAGAAGGCATCAAAAAACATAATTCTGGAAGTCTAAAATATGATATTTTAATCAATAATTATCTAGTTTAAACGTCTCTTATTTGAAGGATCGTTACAGTATTATTAGGCCTAACGTAGGGTTTTTACATGGAAATGTAAACGTAAATTTAACTTCACAATATTTTCTTTAAAAATTTTTTTAAAATGTGTAACGAATTTGTTATTATATATTTATTTTAATATCGACGTTGTTTCGATTAAATTTCTATTTAGAAACATACATGGCTTATATTGTTAAATATGTATTGCGAAACTCCCGCCTATTCTCCAAAGTTGTAGAAGATTCTCGAGAGTAGAATCAACAATATAAGTGTGTACATAAACGCTAAAGTGTAGTTCAGTATTGATACGTAAAACTGAATTTTCTAGAAAACCTTCCCACGGCTATAAATATAACCAACGCAACGCGCCAGAGAGAGTATCTATTATTAGTTCAAACTATTTAAACTTCAGTGGATTCTCATCGGACATTAATATTTTTAAGAAAACATTACCTAACGTCACCGGTGTGATCAGTGAAAGACAAAGCTAGCTAGCTTCCCGTTAAGTGAAATATATCCCGGTCAACTCGTAGTCAACTCGCTCATCGTGAACCCTCGATAAGATATTAAGGAAGTTCCAGACTAGAAATAAAACTTTATATTGTTTGTAAGTTTGTGAAACTTTTGTCTATAAATCATTGTTTGTAATAACTATTTGTAATAATTGTTATTGTAAGTTGTACTGTTGTGTGTATATTAAAACGTATTTGTGTTAAAAAAAACTGTGTGTATCCATCTTGTTGGCAAATATCATAAACCGATTATATATCGGCTTTTACTTAACTACTAAATCTGTATTATAATTTAAGTACTAAATTTAAATTTATCAGTTAACTCAATTTCAGGGTATTTGAAATTCCAATACGTAACAAATGCTAAAATGTTGTAACACAACATCTCCTACAAAAGTTCTGTAGGTTACATTGCCAAGTGTACAGTGGAAAGGTATGCTTAAACAGGTCTTTTTTAATAATGGTATTGCTTGACAAGAATAATGCGTTTGAAAACTAGCCATCTGCATAAGTTATTAAAGTTGCTTCAATAAAAAGTATCGTATTTGTAAAACAAAATAAAATATATTGACCAATAGGACATATATATAAAAGCATACTGACCCTTCCCTGTTGAGAGACGTTAGCCAGTAACTCCGGTTGTACAACTATACTGTAGTATTTGTATTTCCTTTTTGGCAAAGGTGGTCTGAACTGGACAGAGCAATACTGACCGCTTATAATTCGATGGCTAGTGTCAGGTGAAGAGTTAATATTAACACATTCGTCGTACGAACCCAGACTAGTGAGACTACCTTCCAGCAGTCCTGAAGGCAATGTCCCGGTGGCGTCTAACACTTAAAAAATATATGAGCGTATATGTTATCGAAAATGAGTATAATTCAAGAAACATTGTTATCCAAATCCTCCATTTATTTAGCTTTTTTGTTTTTCATTACAGGTATTTAATACAATAGGTATAACGCTACTCCATCTAACATGTATAAAGGTTTCTTTGTTTTAGAGCAAAGCCACATTGGGTTGTCTGCTGTGTCCACCGCAGTTAAGTCTGTGCAGAAAGACAGCGGTAAATGTAATGGTTCACAATGCTAAAATCGTGGGTTCGATTCCCCGCAGGGAAACACCAAATAGCCCAACGTGGCTTTGCTGTACAACAAATAAACAAACTCAGTAAAAAATGATCGTTAGAACAAAGACTTTTAGTCTGATATTTTTTCTTCTAATGATGCTGGTTTGTTTGAAAAAGCACTTACAATACCCTCACAAAATGTCATCGAATTTCTAAAAGATATAGAAATGCCATATTATAGGGATTGTAATTATTAGTTTTAAGTGTGGGACGTGGCATTTTTGAGCACCCATATCAGCTTCTGATTTTTAAAGTTTTTCTTTTTACTTTCTGTTTCATTTCACCTGTGATACTTACGAATAGAGATTAAGGCTGATAGATGGTGTATGTATCTCTTCAGCTTTCTGTGTTTATACTTCTGCAAGTACCTCTCTTACTAGGATACATATAATCATTCCAACACTGCACTTTGTTAATTAGTTCATTACTTTGTTTGTTAGGCCTTTAAGTGTGACTCTGCTTTGTTTAAAGCTTAGTTGTCCAACAAATACACGAACAGAGGTAAGCGTGGCCCAATAGAGTGGCACACTGTGAATTTGAGGTTCTGTGATTTGCGTCTCGTTATCGCCTAAAAAAACAAATCGCTCTCTGCACTCTGGAGCTATGGGTACGTTATAAGAGTGACGATAAAATCCCCACTATTCGGTCAGACAAGAGTTGGTGATGGGTGGTCTTCATTGATTGTCTTCCCTTTTGTCTATCATTTCAAAATTAAGAACGCCTATCGCAGATAGCCCTCGTGGAGCTTTGCGCGAAATTCAGCAAAGAAAGAGGCAATAAATATACATGGATGTAGAAGTAAACCTTTTCATATGTTTCCCAATTTCCTTGAAGCTGGCGTTTCTCTTTTTTTTTTCATTGAAATAAATAATAGAATAACATCTTACACACTGAAATATTTTTACTGGAATGATAGTTTTAATATACCATAAATTCGCAGTTTTAATATATACCAATCTTTTATTGAATTCTTTTCTCCAATGTACTTGAACAATTATCTTTAATAATTTTCAGTTCTCCTTGTTCTAAATATGATATTTTTACTAATGCTGTTGGTATTTATTAACACTAATATAATTAATTCTTCTTTCTTTTGTTTCTACTTGATTATTATTTCGATTTGTAAAATAATAATAATAATACCCGTCACGTGTTTATTGACCAACCAACTTAACATTTATTCTTTTAAAAACTCTTTTTTATTCGACGATCATAAACTTTTCCTTTGAAGCTTTATATAAAAATGTTCGTATGTTTCATTTCAACTCATTTTTATATGTTCTTTGTGTATTTAAGTTAACTGTTTGAGTTATATTTTTGCTCTCCTAACAGATATTACAGGTGAACTAAATCAAAACGTGTCGCGCACCAATGACGTACAAATAAACTAATTTTTTTGTTGTTGTCTAGTGCAAAGCTACACAATAGGCTATCTACACTCTGTCTAACGCAGTTGAATCTAACCCCGGATTTTAGCGTTTTAAGTCAGTAAACTTAACAGTGACCCACCAGGGAATGTAACTAAACTATGATGTTTGAATGGTAAATGTATTTTCTTAACCAGACTCGTCAGTCCTGGCCAGTAGCCCCACCCCTCCACCCCCCATTGGCACAGCGGAATGTCTGCGGACTTACAACGGTAGAAACCGGGTTTCGATACCCGTGGTGGGCAGAGCACAGATAGCCCATTGTGTAGCTTTGTGCTTAATTCCAAACAAACCTGGCCACTAAAAATATATATTCTCTTTAGAATATCAGAAGTACTATGTAGCTGATAAACACAACAGCAAGAAAAGCTTCCGAACCTTGTTTTTGATAAGTTAAATAAGTGTCAACTTGATATTTTAATAGCTAAAATGTTACTTCCATCTATAAATGCTCTAACCAATACTGCGAACTTCAATGACAATGTCTTACGAACTTAATATTTTAGGTCTTATGTGGCAAAAATCAATATATTCTTTCTATTCTTTTTCCCCCTAAAATTATTATTCATAAACGTGATGGGGGATGGTGGGCGTGACTAAACTCAAAGATATGATATATTAATGTACATATATTATCTTCTCAACATCTTCCCATGTGCCTGATTTTAGTAGCTGTAGATAATCTTCCCATGTGCCTGATTTTAGTAGCTGTAGATATCTTACCAATAATTTATTACACTACCTTTCATATGTAATGAAGTTGGTTTTATTCAAGTAATTACTAACACCTGTATTAAATATATAATTTATACAAGTTTTAAGCAATATAATTTAAATATCAATAAACATTTATTCATGGTTTCTTAAGCCACCTCTTTCATTTCAAATTTCAAGTATTATTCAATTATCGGTAACACTTCAAGAAGGGGGAAAAACCTACTTCTTATGGCCCATGTTTCCAATCCTGCAACAGAATTCAAAACGTTAAACACACTCTTTCTGCATAAATCAGTAACGTTGGCAGCAGCAAGAACATGTTCAACAAAAGGTTTTATTTCGTCAATCCAGTAAGAAGCAATTTTATGGTAGTCTTTATCCATGTTTTTCCACAAGTTTAAGACTTTATCAGTAGATAATGTCCACGGATGATTTGGAGCTGAAGGAAAATGTTCACTTGCGGTTCCGATGGTATTCGTCGTCTTATTCCACCCGCTAGTGTTTTGTCCAGGGGTCACAGAAAAATGGAGAAATATAAAAAACCCAAGGACCCACATCATTCGAAGCTTTGTCTTCTGCATTTTTTAAAAGATGAATCACTTTTTTCTGTAATATTGAACACAGATATTAAACTCTAAAAAATTCTGAAAATGTACATTGGATGTTTTCACAACTATGAAAATAGGGGCTAAACCTTAGATTGTTAAGAGTACCATAAATTTACTAACAAAGATAATTTTCTGAAAGTAATAATCTTGGACGAGAGCTTAAATGATATGTAGTTAATTCTCAGCCGACTTTTTTATGTATTTCCCTCGTTTAATGGTATGGCCTACTAAACTGAACTCGGAACCTATTTTTTTTTAAGTTAACTAATATTCTCAGCTATATATATAGTGCTCAGAAAAATAAGCCAACTCATAACTATAAATCTTTTAAATACTGCAATTTTAAATAATACATATACTTCCAGCTAACAGAAAAATAAAGAGTAACTGTATATACTTTAACATATATCCAATCATTAAACAGTTGGTCCGCTGTGTAATACTGAACAATAATACATTATTCACATACCTAACTTAAGTTAGATTACTATATGATAAAGTAAAACGGGTTCCAAACCCCTTAGATAAAAAATAACTGTGTTGTTTCTTTCTGGCTGTAATTAGTGGGGATGCTTAAGTTTCAATAGTACAATTGTTTCTAAATATATTTTCACCAAAACTGTGATGTTTCAGTGGCAAAAATATATAAAACATACGTGTTTCTATTCGTGAATTATTTATTAGTTCCTTAACATTCCTGTTATTCGGGAAGCCAGCTTCCAACCTAATTTCCCTCAGACTTTTCATAGTGAACTAGATTTTATCTTAAAATGTGTAAGCGGTCATTTCCTTACATATTTTACGCAGAATTACCATAATAAATGTATATGATTTTCACTAGTGTTTATAATTTTTAACGTTTCGAAGATTCCCTAAACCTTTACGGGCTCTTCCTGGTAAATACTTACCCTAACGTTTACATTTATAACGTTGAAATATACATTATACTACCAAAAATATTTACTGATAAAAGTTAGTTTTTGGTTTGAGGTCACTCGTGGGTATGGTGTTGGTTGGTGAGTTTCCTACATGCCGATTTCTCTCTTATCGTATCCATAACGAAATTAATAGATATTAACGTTTTAAGAACACAAAAAATATTCATAGGGCTGTTTCTATTTATAAAAATTCGAATAGTTCTTTTATATTGTTCTTAATCTGATAAAAGTCTTTACAAATATATTTTTACTTTGTAAAGATAAGTTGATCAGATAAAATTCTGTAACTTATCTTAATGGTTTTAACAAAATAAAAATGATGATTGTGAAACTTCTTGCAATGCTTATAAGATACTGTTTAGTATTTATAACATGCTTATATCCTGTGACGTGTAACAAAAAATGTAAAACAACACTGAAGACTGTCTGTTTAAAACATGATATACGACTTTTATAAACAATTCAGAAGACATTTTTTCATCTCTTCTGTGATTGTATGAAGTTTTCAGTTTTGTAGCGTGTCAATGTTTTATTGGATTAATTTTCAGTAAGGATATTCTCTGATGGATAACTGGAAAACTTAAGGTGCATTAATGAAATATAAAATAAATAAATTAGACAAAAAGACGAGTGAATAATACATACTTCCCTGATATAGAATACAAAGGTACAAAGCCAGTGAATATACAAAAATAATATTTTACTAAATAATGCCATACAAGAGGCGCTGTTACTTATGAAACTCTGAGGTTGTAAGAATATCAAGTAGTTACTTAAGAAACATTCGTTTCGTAGAAAGGGTAGGGGTTACTTCAGAAAATCTCGGTTTCCAGGATTACTTAAGAAACTCTCAGTTCTAGGAATACCAAAGAGTTATTTAGAGAGTACTTAGCTTCTATGAATATCAGTTTGTTATTTTAAAAAACTC